TTAGTCTCGTCTAAGCTCACGGAGCTAGGTGACGACATTTCTATGGCACAAGCTTGTCAGTCTCGCTTAAGCTCGGAGCTAGGCGACGACCTTCGTAGGGCGAAAGCCTGTCACTCTCGTCTAAGCTCGCGGAGCTAGGCGACAACCTTTGTAGGGTGCAAGCCTGTCAGTCTCGCTTAAGCTCGCAGATCTAGACGACGACCTTCGTAGGGTGAAAGCCTGTCAGTCTCGTCTAAACTTGCGGTGCTAGGCGACGACCTTTGTAGGGCGAAAGCCTGCTAGTCTCGTCTCAGCTTGCGGAGCTAGGTGACGACCTCCATGGGGCGACAACCTGTTAGTCTCGTTGAAGCTCGCAGAGCTCGGCGACGATCATAGATAGGTGACAACTAGTTGAAGTAGCGTCCGCGACCTATTGAGCTTGGCAACGAATGTCGTAAGGAGGTCACCTCAGCGGGGGCCGCCGTACGAAGTCAAACATGTAGGTCTTGCAGGACTTAGAAATAATTGTGCTGGTGCAAAAGCCCATTGTCACGATGTTGAGTTTTTGCAAGGCTTGGTGAGTGGTTCTTACCACTTAAGAAGTGGAGGACGGACGAAGAAAAATTTGTGTTTTCAGTTATGGACCTTTGACTTAGGTTGTCATAAGAAATGTGTGTTGTTGCGGCGTGCGAGGTAGGGTGAGTTGTTAAGGGGCCTAAGCCAATGGCAATAGAAATAAAGCTCGGGGTCAAGTTTTCCAAGGCGGGATCGACATACCATGATGAAGCTGACAACGAGGCGGATCGCGTAAGGAGGAAATTGGTTCAAGGGTAGGCGGTACAACTGGCTCATCTGGAGTAGGTCGGAGTGTAAGGGAAATTTTAGCCCGGCATTGGCTTGGTCTCAGAAGAAGCTATAGTAGTCAGGTGGGGGGTTAAGGTACGAATCACTGTGGTGAGGGATCTTGAGATCCCACTCTCGGGACAACTCGATTTTTTGTGTAAGTTTGGTAATTTGGTCATCCGAGTAGGAAGAAATGTGGTTCGAACATGCAGCCCGACTAGGCGTAGGCGTCTTGGAGGTCGTCGTGGCAAAGGCGATGGAAGGTGATCCTAAGGGTGTAGAATGTGAAGCAGAAAGAGAGGTGGAGCTTGTGTTACTCCTAGGAGAAGGGTGTTCGAGTGAGTAAGCAATATTTTGTGATGGGCTCGGATGCTCGGCGGCTCGGCGTTTTGTGCGACAGTACCGACAGCTATGCGTATGTCTCGTAGGAATTAGGCAAGGCGTGTGTCGGTACGGCCGTGTATGGTGGCTCGGCAGTGCAGGATGCTGATGCACGGTAGCTTGGTGCCTCGGCAATACACGGTAGTTTGACATATCCACGCTCGGCAGCCCGCCCTCGCGTGGTAGCTCAGTGCGCCCCAGCTCGACGGCTCGGCGCTATGGGTAGCTCGGCAGCTCCCATAAATATCGGCGCCATGGGTAGCTCGCAGCAGGTCGACGCGGTCAGCTCGGCGTCTCGGCTCGGCAGGATGACACAGGCAGAGCGTCTTGACTGGTCGATGTTGGCAGCTCGGCGTCGGGTCCCGTGGTAGCTCGACACTCGTCTTGTGGTAGCCCAACAGCTCGACACCAGTACTCAGGTGGCTCGGCACTTTGTACGACGAATAGGTCGGTTTGTCTCCGGACGGTCCGGGCTCGCGTGCCGAGCTATCTAGCATGTGATTGCTAGTCAAAGAGGTTGATGAAATTGTAAATGTCGCGAACAGAATAAGATCCATAGCGTAAGTATGACCGGGGTCACAGAAGTTACATTCTCGGTCAAACTACCTGTAGCTCAACCAAAGAAAAGGGGGGCTAGATGATACGATTATAAGTAACGGCTCATGGAGGAACGGTTGCGATCCGAGTTTAGTCACATTTATACTGACGAGCGGCTAGGCAGGGGGCTAGCTTGGCATGAGCACTTCGGTGGTATATCAAAGGTGGGTTAGCTAGGTGTGGTTCAACCAGCTAGGCGTGGTCCAACCAGCTGGGCGTGGTTCAACTAACTAGGTGTAGTTTAACTAGCTAGGCGGAATACCTGGGATTGGTGAGCTTGGCGGATGTGATAGGCGGGGTGGACAATTCGACACCTAGGCACCGAGGCTCCTCGACCAAAGGGTTCTGCCGAGAGGACCAGGGCCAGAAGGTAGCTTTGTGATCAAGTCATGAGGAGGTTTACAACCTCAAGGACTCTAAGAGATTTGGGGATCTTGGACCTAATCGAGAGGTAGACACCAGAAAGACTTCTGGTCCAGTCAGAACTCTTCGACCTTTACATAACCTCACCTATAAAAGGGGAACAGGTTCATTCTTTTTACACAACACACTCATATACACGAATACGCTTTGTCTTGCGATTCCTACAACTTTCTCTTGAACTTGAGCGTCGGAGTGTTCACGCCGGGACCACCCCCGGTGTGTTTTATATGTCATCGGTGATTAAGGAAGAACAAACCGGTCCGGGAGGAGCGGTTTAGCGGTCCAAAACAATTTGACGTATCAATAGTTTTGATGTTAGATCTATTATTAAAAATTAAAGATCTAGTTGATTTATTTGTATAAATCAATGGCTCTTTAAATTTTGAGTGTTCCTATTGTTTTGTGGATTCTTTGGAACTCATTGGTGCTATTATTGATGAGATCCTTGCTGAAAAATTGTTGGAATTTATTTGGAATTTCTGAAACCTAATCATGCCTTATTTTTCAAGAATTTTTATAAAATGGTAGGGCCATATTTTGAGCATGAAATTTGGTAATTGGAACCCTGTTATCAAGCCCTTATTGCTGTTAAAATTTTGTTAAAAATCTCAAACCCTAACCCCTTGAATCGAGTCTCGAATGTTGGCGATCCTGCAGCCGGGGACGCTGGTCGCAGCCATGGGTGCGGGCCGCGACGCTGGCATGTGGCAGACAACACAGTGGACGTGCGGGAGCCCCTGCAGCGAAGCGAGCAGCTTTCAGCAGACGCCTGCAAGCCGCGTGCTGTGTACCTACACGCGCACCCGAGCCCCACCTCCTGCCGCTCGCCAGCTCACCCGCAGCCCCCAAGCGTACCATAACCACACGCCAGATGCGCCCCTGTGCCTAGCAGCGTTCCCTGCCGAATTGATGCATATAACCCCGTGCCCGTCGCACTCGGACAAGCCCATAAAGTGGCCAATGTACCAGCAGCTTGCCTAGACGTGCCCAGCCAACCCCTGCGCGAGCTCCAACGCACCCAGCTGGCCCTGCCCGCGCCCGCATCGGTCCACGCATGTTGAAAACCTTTTCCCGAACCGTTGACCTCATTTTTCGTGTCGAAGCTAGTTTTTTAGCCTTTTAAAAAAAATCCAATTATTTTTCTTAAATCCGAGATTTTCAAATTTAACAAAATTCCTACGAACTACTTAATCGATAATTTTCGACGAAGTATGAATTTTCGTTAAAATACTGAATTTTCAAGATAATTATTTTGTAATATTATGTTTATTAATTGTAGGTGCTTGAGGACTTGAGCCCTCGACCTATCTATCTACTGTTCATTGTGCTTTTGCCTGTCTCGACTGATCAGGTAGTGTTGTTAAACCTTGCCATGTGGTTATTCTTTATTTTTGATTGGCTTGATAATCAATGTATGCATGCGAACCACTAGTCTATGCGTGTCTCACCCGCGCCATGGGTTATGCCGGTGGTATCCTATTATTGTACCTTTGATTTTTTCTCACACTGATGGGTTATGCCAGTGGTTAGATCCGTCGAGGGGTTATGCAGTTGGAGCTGTGTGCACACATGTGGTTAGGGCCGTATAAGAGGTAGACATAGTGAATTGTATACATGTTGCGATTATGATTTCAGTCATTATATTGAATAGATTGAATGGTATTCCCACGGTGAGTTTCTCTTTTCATGTTGAACTGGTGGTCGTGGCAAAGTACGGGCGAGTGGGGTAATTATGGTTGCTTTTATGAACTGTTTTTCTGCTTCCTCTTATTGTTATCATGTTTTATCGATATGAACGGATTATGAACGTGTATTATTTTGGATGACTTGGAATTGGGTATTGATTTGGTTATTATGATATTATATCGAGACTTTTTTATGAATATGCGATATTATGTTTTGTTGGATCATATGTCTATGTGTTTAATTGGGATTGTTTATTCCCAAGAGTTTAAATAGATACTTAAGCACATGAATTGTGTTTTGATTGAGTAATGCCCGTTAATTGATTTTAATTTGAAAAATAATTTTTGAAAAATTTACTCTTATAATTGAAAAATCCGATATTTTTCCTTTAAAAACAACTGGGCGTTACAAAAACCAGAACCATAATAATAATAATAATAATAATAATAATAATAATAATAATAATAATAATAATAATAATAATAATGATAATCTAAGTTTTAAATCGTCAATAACTTAAATTATTATATAGCTAAAAAGCATAATTGGGTCCTAATGAGTACGGAGATCAAATTAATTTATCCCTAAAAAATTCTAGTTTGTGTGATTGCGACATGACGTCCATATTTTTATTGTATCTAATAATGGTGCTATACAAGTGTGTTCTACGCACGCGGCATGCATGTTATTTATTAAATGAATTCCAAAAGTTACCCATGCATGTAACAAGAATTCATACATTACATAAGTTTTTTAACTGTATATTATACTAAATATTGAAATTCAGTTTTTTTTTTCTTTTTAATTCAGCTATAGTATAACATGTTTTCCTACACTAAGTTAAGAAGACAATAAATTTCAATGTAATAAGATTTTTTGCCAAATGTAATGGGATACTTAATCCTGTTTGGGACAATCCTACTAGACCAGTCTATCAGACCAATGGATGAGGAGCCTTTTACCAAACCAAACGGTTGATGCTCGGATACCAATTTTTAGAACCTTGATCTTAACTCGTATTGGCCTAAATAATGCAAACCAAATATATCTTCCTCACGTGAATTATTATTACTATTATTTTATTCGCAACNAAAAGAAAGAAAAGAAGAAGGGCAATGGCTTCTTGTGGAGTAATCAAAAGTACTTGCTTCTCTTTGTTAAATTCTCATGATCATGGCTCGACCCGTTTTCTCAATTCCACCACCGCTCTCCCTACCCAAAGGCAAAAAGTACGTACAGTAACTTTTTTCTTTTTGAATTACCGATTCTTCGTTTTAGGTTTGTACACCAGCTGTATTAATCGATTCATATACAAGCCTTCTTACTTTATAGTTTTGGTCCTTTTTCAGTTCTATTCTGGGATATCAGCTTCCCATCAGGATAGCAACACGAGCGAGAAACGGGAGCTGGCCGTGAAAACGGGTAGCCATGGAGGGCAAAACGGTAAATTGACAAAAGGACTCAACTTCAGTGGGGAAAAGCCATCAACTCCGGTATTGGACACCATCAACCATCCTATTCACATGAAAAATCTCTCTGTTAAGGTAACTATTAATGTCTGATTTTTTTTTACAATTTTAGTTTGCACAATAAGAAGAAAAATATATTTGATTTCTTTATTCAAATTATATTTACTTCAATCCAAAAATCGGGCCAGAGTTGAAAGAAATGCTCTGTATATATGCAACGATTTTTATGCATGATTATTTTCCAAAATGAATAAATATGGTTGGACATTCTTGTTGATAGGACCTGGAAAAGTTGGCTGACGAATTAAGGGAAGATATAGTGTACTCGGTGTCGAAAACTGGAGGCCATTTGAGTTCGAGCTTAGGCGTGGCTGAGCTTACTGTTGCACTACATCATGTCTTCAACTCTCCTGAGGACAAAATCATTTGGGACGTTGGTCATCAGGTAATTAATAATTGGTAATTAGAGATCAACATTTTTGCTTTTATTATCACAATCACATTTTTTTGTGGTTTTCTCAAATAACTAAGGGCTCGCTTGTTTACAACATAATTCGTCAAAAATTAGTTATTTTGATTAACTAGAGTTAATTTTAAAAAAAGAGGTATGTTTAGTTGTTAGTGGGATTTTACAAATGTATTAAAATAATATTTAAAGTAAAATGATTAAGATTAATGTAAAAAGTAAGAGATAAATCATTGGATATAATAGGTAGTTAAAATTATGTGAGTGGATGAATAATGAATTAAAGTTGATGTAATGTGTAAGAATGATTGATTTGTATTATTTAATTATATGAATTATATTAAAGACAGTGGAGTTGAGTTAAAGTTGAGTTAGATTTGAGTATGAATTGAAAGTAAGTGAAATAATTTATAAACAACTAGTCCGGCGTTCTTTGTGGGTATTTTATTCTGACACCATTTGTTCTGGGTGAATAATTTAGGCTTATCCGCACAAAATTCTTACCGGGAGGAGGTCGAGAATGCACACAATCAGGCAAACATTCGGGCTTGCAGGGTTCACGAAAAGGGAAGAAAGCGTGCATGATGCCTTTGGGGCTGGCCACAGCTCAACTAGTATTTCAGCAGCTTTAGGTGAGTTGTTTTCATTTTTTCAACAAAAAATAATAAAACAAAACAAAACAAAAAATGAAAAACAACTTGTGATACAAGTGTATACATACTAGTGAATTTGTTTACAATTGAACCTATTTAATCAACAAAAACTCTGTTTTTGGTTGTATTTAATTATCAATCAATCAGGAATGGCTGTGGCAAGGGACTTATTAGGCAAGAAGAACCACGTAATATCGGTGATAGGAGACGGGGCCATGACAGCTGGACAGGCGTTTGAGGCGATGAACAACGCAGGCTTTCTCGATTCTAATCTCATAATAGTATTGAACGACAACAAACAAGTCTCTTTGCCCACCGCCACTGTAGACGGCCCGGCTCCTCCAGTCGGGGCCTTGAGCAAAGCCCTCATCAGATTGCAAGCCAGTGGAGAATTCCGCCTACTACATGAAGCCGCAAAGGCACGGCTATTAAACAAAACACAAAAGTAGTTTTCAGCTTTTAATCGACTTATAACAATTATTACTAATTTATATTTATTACAGGATGTGAGCAAGAGTATGGGGAACCATGCCCATGAAATGGCTGCCAAGATCGACACGTACATCAGGGGCATGGCCGGGACACCCGGAGTATCCCTTTTCGAGGAGCTCGGTCTTTACTACATTGGCCCTGTCGATGGCCACTGCATGGAGGATCTCGTTCACATTTTCAAGAAAGTCAAGGAGATGCCCTCAACAGGCCCAGTTCTCGTTCACATCGTGACCGAGAAAGGCAAGGGGTACCCTCCGGCCGAAGCTGCTGCTGACAAAATGCACGGTACGTACGCTCAAATATATCTATAATGAATGGTTAAACAAATTGGTGGAGTATCACTTGTGAGTTGTCCTACATTGATTCTATAGGGAAAATGGACCTAGCTTATATGCCTAGTGGGCTACTCCTCTCATCACCAATTAGTTTTGGGATGGAACCTTTCACTATGGTGTATCTAGGCATACCTTCTTATAGTGCACTTTATCTGCGTGCGACCGCACCCTCTTGCCCCTATTCTCTAAATCTTACACAAACATTGCGGTCGGTATTCAATTTAGTTGTTGAGGATATTGTTTCCTTAATTGCAGGGGTGGTGAAGTTTGACCCGAGGACTGGAAAACAGATGAAGGGGAAACCAAAGACCCTTTCGTACACTCAGTACTTTGCGGAGTCCTTAGTGGCGGAGGCAGAGCAAGACGAGAGGATTATTGCTATTCATGCTGCCATGGGAGGGGGCACGGGCCTCAACATTTTCCAGAAACGATTTCCCAATCGATGCTTTGATGTTGGGATTGCCGAGCAACATGCCGTCACTTTTGCAGCTGGTCTGGCAACTGAAGGCCTCAAGCCCTTTTGCGCCATTTACTCCTCCTTTCTGCAGAGAGGCTATGATCAGGTAACAAAAAATAAATAAAAATAAAAAATAAAAAAATTACACCTTATCAAACTTCATTTCCAGAAATGATGCTTGTAAATTTTAGGCAAAATTGCATTTCCATTAAAAAAAAAAAATGCAGGTAGCTCATGATGTGGACCTCCAGAAGCTACCGGTTAGATTCATGATGGACAGGGCCGGGCTAGTGGGTGCGGATGGCCCGACACATTGTGGAGCCTTCGACACGACTTACATGGCTTGCCTGCCCAACATGGTGGTGATGGCGCCCTCGGATGAGGCTGAGCTCATGCACATGATTGCCACTGCTGCAATAATCGACGACCGGCCGAGCTGCCTCAGATACCCCAGGGGAAATGGCATTGGTGCAGATATTCCACCCAACTACAAAGGAACACCATTGGAAGTATGTATCTTCAAATTAACAAAATTCCAACTCAAATTACTTTTCGTAGTTTTTATTTGGAAAAAATTTTAGTTTTGATCTGTTTACTTATCTAAAGTCCTTTTTTGGTACACTAGTTTTTTTCTTTTCAAAATTAGTAAGTTATGTTGCGATTTGTATCATTTTTGCGACATTACTCATAAAAAAAATTACATTATGTTGTAATTTGTATCATTTTTAGGACATTAATCGCAAAATATAATTAACCATTTTCGGAATAATGTCTCAATAGTGATACAAATTGCAACACAACATACTATTATTGACGAGTGGAAAGTTAGTGTACCAAAAAAAGACTTTAGACAAGTAAACGTACCAAAATTGAATTTTTGACGATTTTATTTTATTTTTTAATCTTTTTGGAATTAGATTGGCAAGGGAAGGATCCTGATGGAGGGTAGGCGAGTGGCGATTTTGGGATTCGGGACTATAATCCAAAACTGTTTAGCAGCGGCTAAGCTTCTTGGGGACCACGGCATCTCGGTCACTGTGGCTGATGCACGATTTTGCAAACCTCTAGACGGAGAGTTGATTAGGGAACTGGTTAAGGAGCACGAGGTTCTCATTACAGTTGAGGAAGGTTCCATCGGAGGATTTAGTTCGCACGTCTCTCATTTCTTGTGCTTGAACGGGTTACTCGACGGAAATCTTAAGGTGATATTTATTAGTAGAAAATGGTCTCATAAGACAGATCATATTGTATAACTATATAGATAGACATAATCATGTAAATAGACCATTGGCAAAATGTATCATAAGTTAGACTAATTTATCTATTTTTTTGTTTGCTGTTTTTTGTAGTGGAGGGCAATGGTGCTCCCAGACAGGTATATTGACCATGGAGATCAAAAGGACCAAATAGAAGCAGCTGGGCTGAGCCCCAACCACATTGCAGCAACTGTACTGTCAGTAATTGGAGAGAACAAGGATAGCCTCCACTTGCTCAGCCTGTAATGAAGACCAAAATATTCAAACAAATATTCCTTATGATAAAAAAGGGTCCCCAGAAAAGAAGAATTGTCATGTTGTAATGATGTATTGTATATAGGGAAGACATGTTGAAAAATACAAATGCAGGGGATGGACCTTCTTGTTATAAGCACCTATTATTTAAGATTAAAGTTACCACTTTTGATGATATAAGTTCTTTTTATTTTTCGTTATATGTATAAATAAATCGTAATTTAATAAAGTGTTATTGTCGTTATATTTATGTGATGAGTAATATTTCTGGTCTGCCTTCTTTAGAATGGTGTTGCTACGTACTCGTTAAACATTTATTGCTCATCTTAAAGTTTGCTTAATGAACATGCTTAGGATGGTGTTGCTAGGCAGTGGCGGACCCAAAGAATTTCGTGAGCCTGGGCAGATTATAGAAGAAAATTTTCAACAATATTGCACAAAATTCTTATATTAATAATTAAATAATAATTGAAGTAATTGGGCCTTGATGAGTTTTTTTTTTTTTATTTATTTTATCTTATTTTTTACTGAGGTTCCAGACTTGCGCCTAACTAGTCCCTCAACTACCGCGCACAAGGAGTCGATCCCCAAGTGATCGCTTGCTGGCCCTCCCAGCTCCAAGTTGGCCCCACCTATCCAACCGCTAGTTCCCACCGAAATGATCGCTCGCTCTTACCACTAGGCCAAGAGGTCATTGGCGATGAGTTTGTTTTTTAATATGCATTTGGCTTGATGGTAAAAAATGAAATGGGGAATGGGTTTGATTATTTGATTATTATTATTATTATTATTATTATTATTATTATTATTATTATTATAATTCAAAAAAATATACAAAAAGTAATATTTCACAAAAACATAAGTCTCAAACCATTTCAAAAGATCCAGCATTATTCAAAGTTCAACCATCTTAACATAGTTCGAAAAAGTGTAAGCAGCAAACAAATAATCCATGTGCAATAGCAAATAAATAAATATCCAGTTTATACGGAAGCATAGGTTTTCAACACATAAGGACCACCATCTCGCTCGTCCTACCCCACCGCCTCCAGCTCGTCTCAACCTAAAACAAAGGAAAAGAGAAAACAACAAGGAAATAATGGGAGTGAGCATAACCAACAAGCTCACCATTATCGCACAGTATATCTCGCATAACATTTAAAACATCATAACCATAGCATTCAGTATGCATAGAATCCAACAGTCTAACTCCCTACTTGGCCCTATCGCAAACCTCCTATGTACATACAACAACCTTCCGATCACACACGGCAAGGAAGTAACTGGAAACCTTCCCATCACCGAATGGCTACGGGCCTGGGATCCTTTCCAGGAGACAGTAGAGATGTTTTTCCCATTCACGAATATCATACGGACCTAGGCGTCACCTCTCCGAATCTACGGGCCGATGACCTCTCACTGTTTATGCATTCCTCAAAGGCACTAACATACGGGACACTTAGACTAGGGTTCTCACGCATACATCATTTTTCAAAACAAAGCATTTATACGAAATATTAAGTGCGATAAATATGGAATACATCATAAATGTACCCACCTGATAGCAGCAACAGTTCACAGAATCACAAATCCAGAAACGAGGCGAGGTCAACACCTCTTAGACACCTACATTAAGTCAGGATCCTATAATCAATATCTATCTCGACTTAAATCGGAAAATCACAAGACGTAGTCGAACTCGTTTCGACTAAGTAGTTCGTGAAGTCCTGTGGATGTTGGAACACTAAGACTCGGCACTAAACTCGACCAAACCACATACGGGAGTTCACATAAATCCATCCAAGGATTGACCAAGTCAAATTCACATCAAAACTAAAAGCAAGTCGATTTCCAAATTTTCATATAAAAATCATGCTTCGAAAATAGAAATCATTTAATCGCATGAAAATAGATGGTCAAGCTACCCTACGACTTAGGCTCTGAAAATTTGCACAAAATTTCATCTCCCAGAAACATGTAAAACCTCAAAGTTTCAGCTTTAAACTCGAAATATCCTAATTTATAAAATTCGAACAGGATATCAGCAAAATGGGCACATTAATTCATACTCGGACTTAATGAATGAATCTGAACTTCAAAATTTTACACAACAACATACAGTATGCTAAATTCCATTTATAAAAATCTCAGCCTTAAATGTTAACTGCTGCTATTTTTAAAAATTCATACGAGCAACAGCAGTTTATCGAATTTAAATCCAAACTGAATCAAAACGGACTCCAAAAATTTCCATCTTTTACAAACACGATTAAACACCTAAAATAAGCCTCTCTGTAAAATTTCAGAATTGTTCATGCAGTAACCAATTTATAAAAATTCAAACAACGTTTATGCAGATTCGATAAATAAAATATTAACCACATCAAATCAAGTCCAAAAATTCTAAAGATTTAACACAACATATATAAGTCACAGAGGCATGACATATTCGAATTTCAGCTCATTCTATTCAGGCATGAAGTTTTTTATGCATTTAACATTATTCTGACCAGATTACATTTTAATTATTAAAAATAGCTACAGGCCTCTAAAAATTACGAAATGTTTACACAGGACAGGCAATGAACAGATAACATGTCTCTCAAAATTTCAAATCGTTTCGAGGAGCGAGCTATTTTTAAAAATTCAAATACCGAAACAGCGATTAAAAAGCTCGACAACTTAGCAATTAATTCACAACATAAAATTTCTCGTCCGAGACCTTTTCATAAGAACAAAGACTCGACATTGTTCCAATATCCACCGACTTACACGACTTTCGAGGTCTCGTTCGATTTTTGAGAAAATCGAAGAGATCCCGAACATACGAACACATAAAATCACAACAATACATATAATCGCACATATACACATCAATAAATTCACACATATATATCACGAGCACTTCACGAAAATGAACACTCAAAGAAATAAATCACATACGAATAAAACGAGATGGAAAAACGACGAGGTACCGTTCTCGGGAATCGAGCGAGAATGGGTTCGAACGGGCTCGACGGTAAACTCGTCTCGCGAAAGAGAAGGGCTCGATGTGCACGGGGAAGAGCTCGCTGCTGGTTCACGAGCTCGTCGGGAAAGTCACAGAACGTCGCTGCTCGGAGGATAGTCGAGCTCGCCGGACTGGTTCGGGGTCGCCGGAAAAAGGACTCGCCACAGGTTCACGCGAACAGGGCGACGGAGATGGTGATGAAGGAGATGATCGGATGAGCGACGAGAGGCGAACGATCTCAGTGATGGGAACGAGATGATGAACGATGAAGATGAAGGTGATGTGATGGAGGATGACGGAAAAATCACAGCGAGAATATGATGGCGAGATGAAGGACGAACGATCGTTCGTTTTTTTTTTTCTTCGCNGGAGGAGGGTGGTCGGAAAAGCTTCAAGAAGAGGGAAGGGGAAGAAGACGACGATGGAGATCGGCTCTTTCTGCTACTCGCGAGAACGGGAAAAACAGAGATTGAAATGAGGGAGGCGTGAGAGGAGAGAGAGCTGCGGGCATTCACTATTTGAGGAGAGTGAGAGAAATCGAAAATATATATATATATACTTGTATTAGGTCTTGATCTTCTTGATGTCCAAGAAAGAAAAACTCACGCTCAGCATAAATGAGATGACCGGAATTTGAGCCCTTGGGCCGGTTTTGAAAGCTGTTGGGCCGGGTTTCATGAGCTTTGGGCCGGTTTTTGGGACATCAAATCGGCTCACGGGCTCGATTAAAAATTTAAACGGACATTTTCGGGCCAATTTCGGTTCCAATGAAAGTTCTTGGGCTCGATATAAATGCAAACACGCGATAAAATAAACTGAACAATATATATATTTTTCATATTTTTAAATACACATTAATAATTAAATATATCACAAAAATCAATTAGACAATTACACATTTAGCATTTAATCATGTTTGACAATTAATAAATATTATGGCATTCCAGAAAAATAAATATAAATATTATCACAAAAATAACGATAATAATAATAATAACAATAAAAATAATAATAATATATATCCCAATAATCCACAAATAAACGGGGCATTACAGTCTACCCTCGTTAAACGATTTCCGTCCCCGGAAATCCAAGAAAAAATCATCCAACAGGACAACTGACACACGAGAGAAGCTCAAACCACTCAATTCGGATACTCCGTCCGAACCTTCCCACTCTACCAAGTCACACCGCACTAGCCATGGTTACCCTGCCGGACTTTGACGAGTACCTATTCCGGACTCTCCCTATGTCAATCCAGTAGGTCACCGGTACCTCATCAAAGGTAAGGTTCTGCCCACATGCAGCTCGTCAAAGATCGCCTCGTGCCTAGAGTCGCGCACCTGTCCCCTCTCCACGAGGCACTAAACAGGTCGTGCAGTCTTGCAAGCTCCGGTGATGGGGTCAACCGTCGGGCTAAGACGCCGACTCGGTCGAGAATCACGAAAGGACCAACAAATGTGGCTGGTACTTCCTCTCTCTTCCCAGAACTCGAGGCGTACAACGCCTCTTTCCGTACTCAAAACCTCGTACGGTACCATCAAGATCGTCACTCGTACGAATAAAACGAGACGGAAAAACGACGAGGTACCGTTCTCGGGAATCGAGCGAGAATGGGTTCGAACGGGCTCGACGGTAAACTCGTCTCGCGAAAGAGAAGGGCTCGATGTGCACAGGGAAGAGCTCGCTGCTGGTTCACGAGCTCGTCGGGAAAGTCACAGAACGTCGCTACTCGGAGGATAGTCGAGCTCGCCGGACTGGTTCGGGGTCGTCGGAAAAAGGACTCGCCACAGGTTCACGCGAACAGGGCGACGGAGATGGTGATGAAGGAGATGATCGGATGAGCGACGAAAGGCGAACGATCTCAGTGATGGGAACGAGATGATGAACGATGAAGATGAAGGTGATGTGATGGAGGATGACGGAAAAATCACAGCGAGAATATGATGGCGAGATGAAGGACGAACGATCGTTCGTTTTTTTTTNCGGGTTTCATGAGCTTTGGGCCGGTTTTTGGGACATCAAATCGGCTCACGGGCTCGATTAAAAATTTAAACGGACATTTTCGGGCCGAGAATGGGTTCCAATGAAAGTTCTCGGGCTCGATATAAATGCAAACACGCGATAAAATAAACCGAACAATATATATATTTTTTTCATATTTTTAAATACACATTAATAATTAAATATATCACAAAAATCAATTAGACAATTACACATTTAGCATTTAATCACGTTTGACAATTAATAAATATTATGGCATTCCAAAAAAATAAATATAAATATTATCACAAAAATAACGATAATAATAATA